CTTAGATTTGTGCCCCCTTGTGTGTATAGATAGTTGGAAGTCAGAAAATAGCACTTAAAATTTCGGAACCAGCTCTGTCAATCTAGCCCCTGTCTAAACGGTCTTGTTTACTACTTGGAAGCCTTACATGGTATTTACCACTCACCAGGCATTGTCGGAAGCATTTCATAGACTCGTGTATTTCTTAAAACAATCCTTGTCTTCTACCCACTTTTCTGGTGAAGAACCTGAAAACCTGCTCAGGGGCTTGCCCAAAGCCATGCAGTTAGTACCTTCCAGAGCCAGAGTTTAGACCTGGGCACCTCAGCTCCAGAGCCCCTGCCCTAGGGACCTGCTGTCCTCAGAGATGATGAACCTTGCGGTGAAAAGGGGAAGCGGTCTCTGCTTGTGTTTACAGCCTCATCGGGGGGAGAGAATAAGCATGCACGGAAATGTACCCCAACGCAGCCAGCACACAGGGAAAACCACACATTATCAAGTGCTGTCTATTTGCCATCAAGTATTTCTGAAACAGCCCTGAGCATCCAAAGAGAGTCACTGACCTTAGGGATGTGGTGTCTGTGCTGCTAACTGCCAAGGTTGATAGTTCAAAACCCACCAGATGCTCCAGGGGGGAAAGATGAGGCTGGCTGCTCCCATAAAGATTCAGAGTCTTGAAGAGTCTGGGCGGCAGTGGGTTTTTGGGGAGAGAGAGCAATAAATCAAAGCTAAAGTCTGTGTAATGAGTCCATTCGATGCCGGAAGAGGAGACAGGTGAGGACCTAGGGGGTACCACCAACTCCTGTTGTGCAGGGGCTCAAGGAAGGCTTCCTGGAGGCGGAGAGGGGGTCCATGACGGTTGGTGAGGTGAAGGATAGGAAAGGGAGCTGGCGGAGAGCACACGGGCACAGACCTGCAGATGGAAGGCACACAGGCAGCTCGGCAGCAGGCAGGCAGTGGGCCAGGGGACTGGGGCGGGCCTGGCGATGTCCTGGCCTGGCCCACGAGGGTGGTGGCGCAGTCACAGCGAAACCCGTGCTGCGTCCCCTCGCTCCAGCTCCTCCAGCAGTGCCCAGAGCTCCGAGCATCTTCCTGACTCTCCAAGCCAGAGTTAATTTTATTAATCAGAGCCATGTCTCCGAAGGAATGGCTCTCCTAGAGTCCCTGCGTCACTCGGCTCATTACTGCTGTCATCACAGTCCAGGGCAAGAGTGATTACAGCTTGCAAGAACGGTTCTGAAGCATCAGAGAGATGCGGATTTTGCCCAGAGAAACCTGTGACCAAGATGCCGTGCCCTTGGATCTTCTTGCATCCTCTGTCACGTGTCTCTCCCCACTCAACTCCTCACTTGATGGGGGTATCCTTTGAGAAGAAATTGGAGGGTGGAGGAGGCAGGGTGAGAAGTCAGCCCAGGTGACAGTTCTAGGTCCCAGGGCCCTGGGCAGAACGATGGAAAGAAGCCCGTGTCTGCTGGCCCCTAAGATGGGCCCGGGGGGCGAGGGGATGGGGGTGCTGCCCATCACATGCTCGGCTCCCAGCACTAGGCGGGTGGGCGGCCCCCAGTTAGCCGCCAGGAGTGAGCTTATCATTCACACCAGCCCCAAGTGTCCTCATCATGTAGCCAGGACTAGATGGAGACAACTCGAAAGGAGGCATGAGAGAGCGGGCTGCCGCCTTGCGGAGACGTGACTAATAGAAGCACAATATTGAACCGAGTTCTAATGTAGTTTCATCTCTGTTGTTGAGTTTTCCCTTATCCCGGGTGATAAGGGATTCATCATCCCGGGGCAGTGGATGATGAATGAGGCCCACCATACACTGGTACTAGACTAGGGCTTCCTGCTCTTTTCTGGAGGAAGAATTTCTTCTGATTTCTTACAGCGGGTAAAGGAGCTGGGGGCTAGCAGCTAGGGAGGGCAGCCACCATCGTGCAAAGACTTGGTTTGTGGAGACTGGTCAGGATACAGAGGCTGGTTGGCACCTGTGCCAGGGAGCAGTGGCCCTGGGACGTTCTCATGTGACCAAGCACGGTTCCTTGGTGTCCCCCTGCTGAGCACACAGGCCCTCTCCGGCCTGCACTGACCTCCCCCCCCCCCCAACAGTATGTCAACCCAGCCTTGGAAAGGATGATGGGCTATCACAAAGGTGAGCTCCTGGGCAAAGCACTCGCCGAGCTGCCTGGAAGTGACAAGAACCAGGCCGACCTCCTCGACACCATCAACACGCGCATCCAGAAGGGAAAGGTGGGTCACGCAAGCCAAGCCAACCCACGTGCCCCTCCCCGCACCGGGAAAGCCTGGAGGCTCCTCCTGGGATCTGGGTGTGTAGTCACGCACGCTCTACTGACAGGAAGCCTCTGCTTTGCATTTTTTGGTGTGTATCTGCTGAATGGCTGTGTGGACATGACTTGGGGCATTGGGTCTATGTGCAGATTGTGCTGGTATGGAATCTGACGAGTCTGTGAAACGAAATGCCATCCTTTCCATAAATATCCCCCACCCCCCACTGGGGAAGGAGCCCTGGTGGCCTAGCAGGTACATGTCGGGCTGCTAACCACGAGGTCAGCAGTTGGAAACCACCACCTGCCCCCAGGGAGATAGGTCAGGATTTCCGCTCTCATAAAGAGCTACCATCTCAGAAGTGCACGGGGCAGTCCGACACCCTGCCTTCTAAGGTCCCTGTGAGTCAGAATTGGCTTGAGGGCAGGGAGTTTGGGACCTTGGGTGGCTGGTGGGGGAGCGTGCCTATTTCTGAGCTGAGTTCCATCCCGGGGCTGTGGGCTTTCAGTTCATCCAGTGTTGGGGTAGACTTGAAGAATCGGATGTCAGTATTTACAGGGCTCGGGTTGTTCAAACGGGGCTGTTTGGGTCTGTGGGTTGGTTTTGTTCATTTCTTGCCAGTTCGCCCTTTCCCGTTCTCCGTACTCATCGTGGGTCATTATCGATGGCCGCGTGCTTCTCCGGTGGCTTCCACCTGCTTCTGGGCAGGCGCGGGTAACGGGATGAACCACGCAGGGATGTTTCCTCAGGCTTCTCCTCTCGGCAGACGCTGGCTCCCAGGCTGCCGCTACCTTTGCATGTTCTTTTAAGCATCCGGAATGCTTCCTCCGTACACCTCCTTTCATCTTCCTCTCTCTGATGTGAAGTAGTTAGATAAGTATTCTATCCATCGGGGACGGGGATGAATAACAAGTAGGACCTGCTTTTGGAGGGGATACGATGAGTTTGGATTACAGATAATGACCAAAATTGCTCTCCAACTAAATTTGGAGATGAGATTGAAAAGGAGACAGCATTGTGAAGTCCTCCTGCACGCGTGCCAAGAGAATCCAGCCACCCAGCAGGTGGCCCAGCAGGCATGGCCGCCATCCACCCAGCTGGAAGGGCTGCTGAGATTTGCTCCCTGATTCAGCCTCTCCCTCCCAGAAACAGGGGCCATGCCCCAGGGATGCCCTTGAGGTCACCTGTCTCTTCCTCTCAGCCCAGGGCGCGCTCTGCGCCAACCAGACAAGCAGTCAGACTATCCCCAGGGATGCCTTGGCAGGGAGGCCATGGGGGATGTTAGAAAGATGATGGGCTACAGGGAAAGCCGAAGAGAAGCCCATATCAAACAGGTTTTCCACTTCCCGAGGGGGGCAAGTGAGGTCGACTTTTTGAGCCTCAGTTTACCCATCTGTTAAGTAAGAATGATAGCACCAAGTGTACAGGTTTTTTGGGGGAATTTTGAGAATGGCCTTCGGAGAATCCCTGAACCCCCGATGGCTTCCTCAGGGAGGGGAGTTCGGGGGGGCATGTCATCAGGGAAGAGTGGGGACTCCACCACTTCAGGCCCAGCCTGGGGCACCGGCCAGGTAGCCGGGGCCCTGCAGGGCAGCGTGGCGGTGGACATGCCGAACGCCTTGTGACCGTGAGCCTCCAGTTAGCCAGCGTGGCCGAGGGCACTGTGTGAAATGTCGCAGAAGCGCGTGGAACGTTCTTCCTCCACCTGGCGGGACCTGTGAAGTGGCCGGCAGCCACGGGGCGATTTTAAGAGCTATCTTTGTCCGTGTAGGAGTGGCAGGGGGTGTACTATGCCCGACGGAAGTCCGGAGACAGCATCCAGCAGCATGTGAAGATCACCCCCGTGATTGGCCAAGGCGGGTGAGAACCACCACTTGAACTCTTTTAGCTGAAGAGAATGACTCGGGGCCCTCGGAGGCGTTCTCTGTTTGTATTTTGAAATGTCCGGGAAAGGGTTAGTCCCATTCAGTCGGCTGCAATGGGCTCTACAGAGCACACCTCTGCCCTCTTGGTATCAGCCCCGTGACAGAACTTTCTCTCCTTCCCCACCCCTTTGGTCCTGCTGTTGAACTCTTAGGCAGCATCACCCTGACCACCCCCCTCCGCCCGATCATTCTGGTTCCCTTGCCCCCTACCCTCTGAAGGGGCACGGTTTCTAGGCCTGGCGCTTGATAGCACTGATTTCCACCAGGGCTCCCTGGCTCAGAGTGGCCTTCTGAGCTCTGTGCCGGTGACGTGGACCTTGTTCCCCACGGGGCAGGGGACCCTGGAGGTCATTGGCCAGGGAGGACATGGTGTCCGACCAGGATCTGAGGGACCAGATTCTACTTCATCTCAGATGGCCCAAGACGCCTGTTTATTTTGTGAGAAGATAAAGTAAACATGCACCACCCCCTTCCTGCCCCCCGCCCGCCCCCCTGCCAATCCCCGTTTCCAGTTACCTTTTACAAGAACATGTACAGGGCCAAGCAGGATCCCCTAACAGTAAATCCCTGGTGAGCCTTTGTCAACCAGCCAGCATGTCAACTGCCCCCAGGGAATAGGTTTATAAGGGCTACCCAGCACCATCGGGGGGCGCTGTGGGGAACTATGAGCCGGCTGTGAGCGTAACAGTCACAGGAGGCCAGCGGCTCTGAGAAGCAAACCAGACATTCCTCAAAACCAGCCAAGCGCCTGCGGGGTCTTTTCCCTCCGATTAGTTCCAAAATCCCCTATCCCCTTTCAGATCGGAGACCCCGCCGAATATCCTGCGCCCTGTTGTCATTGGTGGTCCCCTTCTCCTTCCCTGATATGGCCCTGCCCAAGGCCACAGAGGGAGGCTGCCCGCTGGGCCGTCCTCTTGGTGGTCTGTGCTCAGAGGCCCAGGAGGGTGACCATGCCCGGAGCTGTCCCTTTGTCCTTGATCATTATCCATAGGCCATCTCCTCGAGCAACTGAAGCCCAGAGTCCTTTCGTGAGGGTTAGGACGTGTGACCAGAATGGCTAGGCACCCAAACGGGGAAGAGGCACTATTGCCCACGATCATCTGTCAGACTACAGTTTTCTTATCTTTCCGACTTGACAGAGGACAGAAAGAAGTCCTTCTCTCCAGCTCCCCACCACCACCACCCACTAGGATAGGCAGTGAGCTCTCAAAGGCAATTATGATTAAAAGTAGGGGATTTTCACCTCTTCCTATCGGGTGATGGTCATGTCAAATGCAGCCGTGTTGCCTTGTTTTCTCCTATGTTCTCCTCAGAGACCGCCAGAGGTCCTCACTACAAATCTGCCTGGGTTTCATGTCAGGGCTGAGGCCCGGGAGCCATTTGCCTGCTCTCCCCGTGGTCGTGAACAAGACCACAGGCTGTCTCAGGGTCTAGCGTGGCTCTTGACACAAGAGACTTTTTCTCTACCTGAAAGACGCCATCATAATGTTGCCCACATTATGACGAACACGGCATATTAAATATAAAAACAGTCACCATGGCATTTGGTCCCTGTGGAAACCAGTCTTTTTCATATGAGCTAGAATAATATCATGAGTGTCCGCAGACGTAACCTTGTCCTCTGTGTAGCGGCATCCCATCCCGTTCCCAAAGCTAGCCACGAGCCCAGCGTCAGGAGCCCCGTATAAAATGAGATGCCCGTGAGGAAGCGTCTCGGCTTCTGCTTGCATGAGAATGGGGGCACCATGTGTGGAAGGCACGTGTGGGCACGTTTCGTGAAAACCATGCTTTCTCTAGATGGAGTGTTGTTTGAATTTTCAGTCTGCCCTCGAACCGACCCTGGGGTTTTCCTTTTAAGAAGACTGTTGATGTTTTCATTTGCTGATTTGTTGACTCATCTCATATCTGACTTACTAATAACTGATTATTTATGTTATTAGGAAAATTAGGCATTTTGTCTCCCTCAAGAAACTGTGTTGTACCACTGACAATAATAAGCAGGTACAGTATTCAGTTTGCTTCATTTGCTTTGTCAGCTTGCCCATGCGCTCCATTTGTTCTCCACTGTGCTCGCTTGTTTTCCTCCATCTGATTGTAGCTGCCAATTAAGAAGGCTTATGGGGAAAATGAGGCCCCTCTGACAAATACTGAAAACAGAATCGTAACTCCCCTGCCAGCCTGTACTATTTTATTAGTGGTGCACATCACCTTTAATTTAGCTTGGCTGAGCTCTAGAATAATCAGCTTTATGAGAACAGAGAATTCCTTCAAATAACAATGGTTTTAAAGTGTTCTGTTTGCTGTCTTAATTTCTAAGCAAAAAGTTTGTATCCAGTTTACCCCTACAAATGCCTATCAGAACTAAGAACCACTGTGAATTAATACTGTACTTTTTTTAACCATGGCATCTAGCAGAGTGATGCATTTGAGCGCTATCTTCTGAAGTAAGGATTTTAATATGCTGCTAGATTTGAGAACATTTAGCGGGAGTTTCCGAATGTACAGCGACTTTGGTATCTTTTAAAATCCACTCGGTTTTTCTCGACATGATTCATATTCAGTGCTGCATTGGGTTTACTTTCATGCTTCACATGCTGTTGAGTAGCCCATGCTCAACAGCCATAATCCCCAGTGGTCTCTTTTTGCAAACATACAACACGTGGCCTTTGACTTTGAAGATTTTTCTTAAAGGGACAATGTCTCTAAAGGACACGGAGGACTTCTGGGCCTAATGCCATTGGTGTCCAGCATGGAGGTGGCTGGTGAATACATGAGCAGATGGCGAAGTTCAGGCAGGGCAAGGAAATGAGACCCAGGGACCAGTGTTCCCAGGAACATTTTGGCCCCTGCTGGTGAGACGTGGTCTCCTCAAGGGGAAATTGGGGTGAAGTCTTGCCAGCCACGCAGAACCATTTAGTCAGTTGTCACCCTGCGTCCGATGTCTCCATCGCCATATGCTTTCTCATAATGCTTTCTCAACATCAAATGCCTGAGTATTCCATCTGGTACCAAGAAATTGTCTCTTAATACCAAAAAGTTAGCCAGATAGGCAAGTCCGTGGAACCACTGGGAAAAGGAGGAATCGGTGTTCACTGATTCTTCCGGCAGCAAATTGCAGGCATGTCATGAGGAAGAATGATGACATGAGTCAGGGTCTGCATGACAGGTGACAGAGGCAGAGGGACAGCTCCAGAAATCCCAGTATTTCTTTAGAGCCCAAGAAGCACAACCCAACAGGGATTCGATGTGTGTCGACGGTGCAGAGCGCCGGCCCACTTGGACTAGCCAGGTACCGTTCATGTCCAGACCGCTTCCCACAGGGAAGGGCCTTGCCTTGCTGCCTCGCCCCTTTCTGACTTGGTGAACGGGAGCCAGCCTCCCTTTGACCAGTGTTCCTGCCACAACTCTAAGTGTGCAGACCCCATCCTGCTTTCGACGCCCATTCCAAGACACATAAAATAGTGCTGTTCTGATAACCCTCCCCCACCCTAACCCCCAAACACCTAATTCCCCTAGTATGGTCTCCTGCTACCCCAGGTTTATCAGCGCTATTTGCATGGTAAGCTTCCCTCTCTTCTCTGCCAGGGTCACCAGCCTATGTTTGCCTCTCTGCAGCCACTGTGCCTGGCACACAGGGCCGCATTAGCATAACTGAGATGATGGTGTCAATCCCAGCCTCCTGAATCTCGGGAGATTAGGCCCGACTTGAGGATGCAGAAGCCAAGGGCCACCTGTCCTTTTCTGAGGCTCAAGGCGAAGTGTCTTCTCTACCAGGAGTTAGCTGGTGTTTGAGGAAGTGTAGAAACACAGAGCGCTGGTTGCCTGGGCCATTGACGTCACCTTACGGTGCTGCACAGACCTAGAGAGATGCCGAGATTTTCCAACAACAAAGCACTACACTTGCTCTGACTAGCCGGTGATTTTCCTCTGCTCAGAGAGGCCACATGGAATGGCGGTGGGGTCTGTGACTGGCAGGGCTCCCAGGAGGATGGGAGCAGCCTCTCTGCAGGCCGTTCCCGTGGTGCTGCTCGGCTGTGACGTCGGAATCTGCCAGTGGGTTTGCATGTTAACAAGGAGTGAGACTGTGAGCCATGCTGCCGTCTTCTGGGCGACACTTGTCATCAGCACAGCTCTCCTCTCCTGTGCGAGCCTGCAGCTCTGCCACCAGACTGGAAATGATCAGTGAAGTTTTTCTGCTGTCGACATTGCACATGATCTGCACACTGACAAGGGCATGTGTACACACTCTTGCACAGGTGCTCGTGTGCACAATACATGTTTGTTAGCACAAGTACACACAACTTGCATGTATATGCACATGTACACACACGCACACGCATATGCATGCACTCTCTTGCACAGTCATATACACAGAGGCACACCCTTACACATAAACACATCCACACTTACCCACAAATCCATACATGTTCATACTTATGCAGGTACTCACTGACACATGCAAATACACTCGTGTGTTCACACACACTCATGCACACACTATCTGGACTCCTACATGCACACATTCACAGAAGCATGCACACACAGACAGCTCCTCTTATATACACACACTTTCCAAATACATATTAAGCGTTTGCCCTGGCCCAAGGCCCTCCAGACCCCAGGGCCCGTGGACAGCACCGCACATGAGAGGTGGGAGCCAGGTGTTAAACTGTATGAGGCGGGAGACCGATTAGGACTTGTTTAGAATAAGGGCCCGTTAAGTATGTAGTGTTCAATGGGCACAGCCAGGCCCGAGCATCTCCATCTCTGTGGCTACTTGCCCCCCGGAGGCCAAGCTGAGGAGCTTCAACAGAGAAGGTAGGGCTACAAAAAAGCCAAAGCATTTCCTAACAGACCCTTCCCAGAAAAACTTGCTGGCCTCGTTTCTAGAAGCCCATTTTCTTTCCCACCTTCTTAGACCAGGGGAAGTCTACCCAACCCTACAGAGTGCCCGCCAACACCCACACACTCTGCTCTCATGCCAACCCCTGCGTGCTGCTCCAGAGCCCACTGCCTGCCTGGGAAGAGGTGAGGGCCTGATTTTTTCTGAGGTTTTCTTTTTTCCCCTTTTCCTGAGAAGGAGATCCAGAGTCTAACATGGGCTGCACCTGCGGGCCAGGACTCAGGCTGCAGAGGGCCAACCAGGGCGCCAGGACACTGGCATTCCCGGGCTGCTGGCCTGGGGAAGGGGGCGGGCCCAACGCAATCAGACATGCATCCCCTGGCCTCGTGGTCTCCTCCAAGCTTCAGGCACAAGATGTGTGGCATCTAGATGGCAAGAAAACCACCCAAACCAGTTGACTGAAAGTAGATTCCAACTCATGGCAACCCGTGTGTGCGTACACTCAGTGGCTGTGATCTTGCGGAGGAAACTCACCAGAGCATGCTGCCAAGCTGCTTCTGGGAGGGTTCCCACGGCCAGCCTTTGACTTCGTTGGCAAGCACTGTATCGTTTTTGCCACCTAGAGACACCTAAGAGTTTCAGAAGTAGATCGGCAGGTGCTTCTGAGTAGACTTGAACCATCAACCTTTGACTCAACAGCCACCTGCATTTACTGTGTGAACCATCCAGGAAGGCAGCTGTGCTGTAGCCGTAGGCTTTGGAGCCTGGGGAAGAGAGTGTGGGCACCCAGTGGACAGGAGACTTGGACTGTAGCTGGCAGTGTCTGCAGGGAGTGCCTGGCACTCTGTCCGGAACCAGCTTGCTTGTTCCACACGGAGGGTGCGCGTGCCCGCGGGACTGGCCGAGGCCAAGCCCTGACCAGGCAGGTTCTGATATGAAGGCAACTTGAGAGCAAAACGAGGCTGGCTCCACCTCAGTTTCTCAGAGGGCTGGGCAGCGGCAAAGGCAGGGTGTCTGCCTCTGGGATCTCTCTGGCCCTCATTTCCTGTCGGCAACGTTATTCAAACTGTCAGAGAAAACAGGGAGGGCCTAATCTCTGAAGGCAGGCAGTTGGTTAACTTGAATAGATCTGGCATGGTTGAAAAGGGTACCGTTTCTTTCGCTGCAGCCGGAAGGAAGCATTGTCACAGCAGAATCAGTCTGGCGACCAACATTAGGAGGCCTGTGTGTGTGGCTGACTGGAGGTCAGGAGGGGCAGAGATGAGGGTCGAATAGGCAGGCGCACAATGGGGAAAGCTTGCTTTGAGGTACACTGGGGGGGCCCGTGCATTTTGTTTCAGGGTAGGCTGTTTAATCCTGAAATCATGGTAAAAGCTAGAAACGCTGAGCTTTACTATGGCGCTAATGCATAAGACTGCCTGCAGGAGAAGCTGCCAAGGGTAAAGCAGTCAGGGATGGGAAAGAGGATTGGCGAGTGTGGGGAAGGAGGGACCGGCCCTGGAGGCAAAAGCAAAGGAAAGCTTTAGGGGTGCAGCTTAGGTGCAACATAACAGTCAGGGGCCTCTGTAGGTGGTGAGTTCCACATCGCAGGAGGTAAGTCAATAGAAGTAGACTGAGCACTCCTTAGGAAAAGCTGACTAAGGGGCTCACTCAGCATGAACTAGATTTCCAAAAAACAAAAAACCAATACAAAAAAATTCACTACCATCAAGTCAATGATGACTCATAGTGACTGTAGGACAGGGTAGACTGCCCTTGTGAGTTTCCAAGACTGTAAGAGTAGAAAGCCTCCTCTGTCTCCTGAGGAGCAGCTGGTGCTTTCGAACTGATGACCTCACAGTTAGCACCCCAACATGTACCCACTATGCCGCGGGGTTCCATGAACTAAATTAGCGGTTCCCTGGACCAGTGACAGCAGCATGCCAGGAACTTGTTAGAAAGGTACACTCAGACCTACAGCCCCCTGGGTGGCCAGTCTGCTCTGCAGTAGAGAACTATTGGATAGGACCGCAGAGCCCCGCACCATCGCTAAAGCGCTGGGCTTTTAGCCATAAGCTCAGCGGTCCCAGCCCGCCCCGCTGTTCCATGAAGAGGCTGTCTGCTCCGATCGGCAGTCCTACAAACCCTACGGAGCTCTTCGTTTGCCCTGTGGGGTTGC